TTCTAATTAAAACACGCCTTATTTTTACTTGTATTCCAATGCACGTAAGTTAGTAAAAATCATGACAAACCCGCTGGAGGGGTAAGAATTGAAAAATTGAAAAAAAATTCATGGTGTAAACAATTTATTTCTAAATCAAAAACTCACTCTTACATAACCCACTTATTGAAATATTTTCGCTATATATTTCAGTCAGATGGATCTCTCAGTCATTTCTCATTCCTTACTGAACAAAAAGTATTTCAGTGAATTGCTAGAACATACTTGAAGAACAGCTATAAACTTCAATTCTCAAAGATATGTTGCGTACCATGTCTTTTGATGAATGCGGATGTAAAGCGAGGTTACAGTTGGTGATAGGACATTTTCCACTAGTGAGTCTATAATGAAATGAGTAATTTGATAAGCAATTAATCTTAATCACCCATTAAAAGTTATATATGACCGCATGGAAATGATGTGATGCACATAAGGTGAGAGGGTAGTCTGTAGGAGCCTTGCTTAATAATCCAGATAACCCTGACTAATCCATTTATTTTGTAATGAGCGAATTTTTGCCCGTCGGAACTATAGGATACAGAGTAGGTCTTCACCCACTAATTATAATTACGGCGACTTTGAGTAAAATCGCTCCGACAACACCTTTCTTGCCGAAGTCAATTTGAATGCATTGGTCCTGGTAATTTTCCCGTGCAGATCAGGAAGGTGCCTCATTTAAGCGACCATGTCCTGTCGACTTATCCGCATTCCCAGCATTTGTTGCTAAAATCTGGGATGTTATGTGTCTTCAGTACGGGGTGCAATAATTAGTATCAATTATTCTATCTTCCAGCACCAAAACACCATCGAAACAATCATCAACAAAAATGAAACGATAATGCAGATAATTGTGCCATATATGGAGCCTCCAGAATTGAAACCAGTCGAGGTACAGCGTTATTTCAATTGATTTTGTTAAATCTTTACTGGGGGTTAACTTCGAATTTTATCACATTCCCATATAGGGGAATTACTGAATAAAAAAATAATGTCCAACAGTCGTCCTAATATGACATAATACTAAACTGAACATATACCATGTAGCCTGCAATATTTACCTTGCTTGGTATGTCAGTCCATCAAATCCATGTATGGCACAGCGATGGATGGAGGTGTAGTCAATGATAAGAGAAAGGTAATAATTGTTAGCGACTCCTGGGTTGCCATAATTTATTTGATCTAAAATTGAGAAACAAGGAACATGTGAATTAATACATTATTGTCCATAGTTGTGAGGCTATCAACATTGTGATATCCCAGGTTCGTGCGTACCGCTACCGTGGGACAACATTTCTTAGCGAACAAATAGTACTTCAGTGAATTGCTAGAACATACCTGAAGAACCGCCATAAACTTCAATTCTCAAAGATATGTTGCCATACCAATTCGGCTCTATATGCAATAGAATCTACAATTGAGATTACAAGAACATCACTTTCACACAATTGAAACTATATGTAATTGTGTATGAATCACAAGGCCCTATACTGTATAGTAACAGCGTGTATTATGTGACTTCAATAAAAAAAAGCATATACAGAACAAAATGCAAGCTGTTTTCTTTCATATTCACATAATACCCCCAACCCCTGTATATTGGTAAGTGGCAATTACATAATAGGAAAGGGAGAAAAATAAATCTATTTTTAATAACACCAGTGTAAAATGAATGACATATGGAACTGTACAGCAAAATATTGTGTAGGCATAATTCTTGTCATGCCTTCCATCACCAGATATCATGGAATTATCTTGGTTTTTTAATGTTTAAATTAATCCGTTTAATTCAAAAAGCACAAAAATACCAACAAAATATAGCTGAAGAAAAATACTTTACCCCAATTGCTTCTGTTTTAATCCAGAAATTAATCAATATTCCTGTTTACCTGACACTGCAGTGCAGCTCTAAAAATCATATCAAATTACACGGGATTACAAACAGAAATATAACTCGCCTTTGGAATTTCGTTATTTTCTTCGTTATTTTTATCCTGTCATCTTTTAACCGTTACATGTAAACTGTAAAGGCTTTAGTTATCTTCTCTGATAGTTTTTAAGTCAGGATAGGCAGAAAAACTCGAAAAATAAAGCTCTTTTTATTTTTTATTTTGTATAGCGAGGCGTTGCTCAGCTGCATGCACATGTGGTTGTCACGTGAGGTTGGAGGTGTCAAAAATGTTAGGTTGCCTACCCCGTGGGGGTAAAATAAGCCCAGTAATCGATATCTGGGGTAAAATTGTCCCTAGAAGTCATAATTGTCAAATTTTCGCCAATATGGTGATATGGAATTTTATATGCACATTTTCCAGTTTCCATTTGTAAACACGTTTGTTGGAAATATCACTACAAATCGCCAAAGCGACTGTATTTCAAGTAAGATAGATGAAATATTTGAAGTATACTACAAATATTTGGAGGTTTTTAGGCGAGATTTTTGGAAGGCTTTGCGTATTTTCGCTTCTCTAAAATTCAATTTAAAAAGTACAAGTTCGGCAATAAATATCTTGGTTTATAGGAAAGCTTTTGAAATGAACTGAATTTATACAAATAGGTAAATGTTTTTTCTTTGAGATAACACACTTTCTAGTTGATTTGATAAAATACTTCCAGATAAAATCAAATTATCTGTGTGCGCCATTTACGAGCAGACAGCAATGAGTTTAGTGATCTCATATTTATTAAAATGGGTGAAGTATTCGCACAGTAATCACAAGTTTAAATCAGCTTACCACTTTGAAATATCCTCTCATCGGACGTCTAACTGAGAGGATCCCTTAAACATCGAGAATACTTCATTAACAAGTGCCGCATCCTGTCCTGTTTGAGAAGTTACGAGAACTTCATCTTGGGTATTGGTTACTCCTTACTCTGTTGGAAGTTCCATTCTGTTGTATGAGGACAACACTTGTAGTTGGTGTGGTGAAAGGATGCAGATTGTCCGTTGGATGTTGTTCTTTTGTATTAGAGACGGACCACATTAGATATCAGCGCAAAATTGACACATTCATGGGACTCGAACCCAATCTCCTAAAAAGGAGTACCTGAAATGTGTTCTTTGTGTGGCCAGGAAAAAGCGAGAGCTACAGGGCAACTCGCAAACCGACTGGCAGACAATACGAACGTACAACACAAAACACACAACCGACGACACAACATCCAACAACCCACAACCCACTAACTCTGTAGCTGAAACGACAAAAAATATGGTGAGTTGTTCCAAAAAAAGGAAGCATTGATAATTAGCATGAAGGCAATTGTGGCTAGGGGTTTAACTGAGGGTATGGATATGGGGTGGCTTCTTAGGGTTGGATACTGAAACTAAACTACGATCGTCTTTGTCTGAAAAACACAAAAAAAAATTATTAGTAGCTCCCTAGAAAACGAAGAGCAAAACACAGTTAGACAAGCAGTGAGCCGTGTTTCCAGATACGGGGACAGAGATTCTTAGCTAACAGAGTGGCCACGGGGATCTACTTCTATTAAAAAAATAATTACACATACCTTGATCCTACCTAGAGAAAGAACTAACTTACCTGAAGAAAACGGTCGCAGACGGCTCTGTTTTATAGCGTGTAGGCTCTTGCATAATTCAGCAATTTAAGACAACTTGATTGGTTATTTCTGTGCACAGGTCAATTTGTCATTGGTCAATTTTTGTACTTCACGATTGGTTCAATAAAAACCAATCAGATTGGTTAATCTATATTCAAATTTTGATCCCGTTTCTTTGATATTTGCAAGGTGATTGCACAACAAATGTTCGATTTCACACGTTTTGGAGCATATTCAAAGCCAATATATCACAGTATGTGTGTATTTGTTCGATTATTTCTCTCATGAAGTTCACAAAAAATTACAGTTCAATTAAATAGCTTTTTTTCCCCACAAGCTTTAGAACCCCATCGAGCAGGAAAGTGGGAATTTAAAAGGCAAGTAAATCTTTCAAACTGTTGTAGCATTTAAATTATGTGGTACATTTAACTACTGAACCTTTCAGAATATTGTCGAATTGGGCATGGCATGGAATAATAGTGAATATAACATACTGACAAAATCTGAAATGCAGTAAATTTCAAGGCTAAATATTACAAAATCCACTGGAAATATGGCGTTTTACCGCTATGCATACATAGCTATTCACAGGTATGATATTCACGCGTTTTATATATTCAATATTACACATCAAAGCGGCCTAATCCTTAGGATATTGCCCAAAATGCAAACAAAAACCGGTTGCACTGGTTTAGTTCAAATATTCAGTACTATTTTATATTTAGCGTCAAAATCGATTTACTATTTATGTAATACTATTTCTTCGATTTCTTTGCACATCCTAGCCCAAGAATTACTCAGAATTACAACACATTGATAACATGTAAAATTGGGACATTTTGAAGACAACAGAGTACCAAAAAAGCGAAAAGATATGGAATTTCTAAAATATATCTTGCTATGAGTGAGTAATTTGAGATAACAAAGCAACCTATTATTTTGATTATTGTTTTTACTTATAATACAAATGCAGGTTATAGCTATATGCTGGTTGGAATATACTATTCAAATAATCGTTTCAACCGCTATAATTTAGTGGTATTCCCGGGTCTTTAGCCCAAATATTTCTGAGATATTTAATGTCTTGCTTCTGTGCAACATTATTGTCAGGAGTAATAGCCTATTTTGCTGTACAGTTCCATTTATCATTCATTTTACACTGGTGTTATATAAAATATAATTTTTTTATTCTCCCTTTCCTATTATGTAATTGCAGAACGAATATTCAATATATTAGTGTACCACATAAAAACTCATTATGACAATCGCTATCGGACGTCTATTGCATCGGAGATACGACTTGTGGTAAGCCAAATTCAATGTTTTTTCTCGTGATTTTTTTATGATGTCTTACATTGTTGTTTTTTAAAGATTCTTCAATGTTTCCTCAGTCTGCGAGCTGAGAACATCTAGGCTGTGCAAGACAAAATTGGAAAAGTTAAATTCACTTCGTATGTTATTTGTTCTGAAAGGAAAAGGTTGGTTAATGATGATAGTGCAACGCATGTCAGGTATTCTGCTTCCAAAATTCCTTCTCTTCTTAGTGTAATACATCCTCATTTTTGTTTTAGTTCTGCAGAAGATAAGACAACCGGGATTGTCTCACTTCCTTACAACGAGGCAATGAATGTTATTCTTGTGTGCTTACAACAGGTAAACTTTTCAATCATAATATATCATCTGGCATAAAGTTTCGAATAAAGTTCAACTTTTTTTATTTTCTAGAAATTGGAATTGGAGGTGTTGTATGTTGTTCTGAGAAACTTTCCAGAGGCACTGCAAGATAAAAACTTGATACATTCTTGAAAGCACTACTTGCGTTAAATATGTACAGTGTTATCTAAAATGGTAAGGGAAGTTAAGTTGTGCACATTCACACCAAAATCATGAACTAAAAATTTTACTTTGCATTCAGGTTTGAAATTATGATTTTCTTCCTGGATTATTTCGTGTTCCTCATGACATGCGCGACCTCATTTGTACGCTAGAATTTTTTCAGTACGGTTCTTCTCATTCAGTTTTTTGCATCTATCATAATATCTTACCATAACTATACTAAAACCATACATACCATAACATATCATATAATCATATCATTAATCATATCATATCATAACTAACCATAACCAAATCATACCATACGATAACCATATAATTCCAAAATTATATCACACCATACCATACCAAGACAAATCATACCATACGATAACCATATCATACCATAATTATATCACACCATACCATACCATAACCAATTTATACCATAATTATATCATACCATACTAATGATTTAATTGGATATTTTAATGTAACATGTGAAGGTATTAACATAGCTGTGTACGTACCACATTTTTATTGGTCAAGATGAACAGTAAGAACCTGCTTGACTTTATTTTCAGCGGTTGTCTGTTCTCGCTTAAACGTTGTTGTATATTTCGTTAGTTTGTCTGATGCGTACTTTGGAGTTGGTTTGGTTGCTCATTCCACGACCTTATGCGTTCTGTCTCACCATATGTATGTTAGAAATGCTTTGCCAGTTATGACAAGGTATGGCTACTTAAGATAGTCTGGAATTTGAGACTTTTTTATGTCCATTAGCACTTTGTAAAGAATGAAGTTGGTTGAAGTAATTGCAATGTTTTAGAAGTTTATTGCTTTGGAGATATTTGAAATCGTGCCTTGATAATGCACTCAGTGAATTTACAGAAATGTTTTTCAACAAAATCCAGCCTAAATGTAACGTCTCTTGTTATGCGAGATACTCCTTCACAAATACAAGATTTTTTGAGCAATAACTTCTAGATTTTCGTTCCTTAGACTGCTCCCAACATATCTGGAAAAGTTTACCAAATTTCGCCAACGCCTCAAGTTGTCATACACTGTTAGAATTTCTCTCTGGTATGTTTCTTGAAGTTACGTAAATTAGGAAATCTTTTGCGAAATATCAATGTACCCCCTAAAGAGAGCTAGCTTGTATAAACACCCAATCGTATTCGGCGAAAAGTTGTTGATGAGTTGAAAATGTTTCACCTTAGATACTCTCAATACACGGTAACTCTTGCTGATAATGTCATTTCATCCTGGTTTGTCAATTTCCACTGTTGTTAAGAAAGCAATTCGTGCCATTTATTAAAAAAGTAAGTCCACATCTCATTCTATTGCCACGGAGATTGCTTGCTAAATTTTCAATAGATATTAAGAAGTGGTCTTTAAACTTTATACAGCTTAGTCAGTGTTGTTACATAAACTTGTCCATTTCATGTTACATAATTTTGCTAATAATGAAGCTCGTTTTCAATCATTTGAAAACTCTGTTAAAATATATGTCCTTGTATCTTTAGAGTCTTAACAACACAGATATATGTTCAGATGCTGCAAACCCATACCCTAAAGTCACTCATCCCTCCACCAAATTCCAGTCACCCCCAAACTCCCTTGAGAAATCAAAGGAAGACTACAGCAACACACTTAGTTCAGAGATGATGGAAATCGTGGTTGATATGATGGTCAAATATACATTTTCTTCTTATTTGACCCAACCAAAAACGTCTGTATATTGGCTTCGTATTTTTCTGCACTGTGTTTCAAGGAAGATGACTATTTTGTTGTTTTGTAGAACTGCAGTTGTAGAACCACTCCTGCACAATGGAGCGTCAAGAAGTTGGTTGCTTGGCAATGTGTTGATCACGGTTACAGTCAACAAGCGGGCAACTTCGAACATGTCATGCGCATATTGTTCGGCAGGAAAAGTGTTTGTGGGAGATGATTCACTGCAGAAGGGCACGGAGCCTGAGGTTTTAAAAGTTGAGCTTAAGAGAAACAAAAACGAGGCCTCAATTAGTCAGGTAAGGAAAATGCTTTCAGTATCATTGTTTAAATTCGCATACGCTGTCTGCCCAGCGTATTTATTCTTAAACAACAAAATATATTTGGAAGAGCAACCAAGTTTAAATATTCTTCTAGTGAAAGCTCTTAGGAACGTATTTGACATTTCCAGGCTTCTTCAACTGATAGCAAAGCTCGTGCAGATGATTCTAGCCAGGTGTCAAACACAAAATTCGATACGAAAGCAGCTGACTTTCTTACCCGCGATTTAAAGGCCACTGGTACCGTAGGCTCAGTACAGAAATCTTGTGACTTAAGCAATGGGTGCAGTTGCGTTGGTCAAGGATGGGTTCAGATTCTAGTTCGAAGACGAATTAGAGATACTTCGTGGATTTTGAGACTACAAAGTCGGCCGAAACTCGATGAAACACAAACTTTACTACCAGCGGTGGGAAAGACAGGGATTTATGAAAGTTTAATTCCATAACAATCCTTTTGTAAGCCCATTTATTTTCTCAAACCTTCCCAACCTTCAATTGTGCCACGCGTCACTAGAGTTGTCGATGGGGAAAACTTTGTTGAAGTTTGCAAGTCAAAAGGCAAGTCGATTCTATCGCTACAAAAATTTTTAGAGTTTGCATTTTTATTCTAAAATCCATTTTACTTCACATATTTCTTTAGTTGTTCAGTTATATTGGCAAGCAATTGCTTTTGACTTTCAGGTGCGATTTATTACTATATCGAGAATGGCTTGATTGGCGAAGGTGGATTTGGTGGAGTATTCAAGGGTGATGCCATAAAAAGAACTAGAAAAACATCGATAATTCTCACACAATGTCTCTGCTTCGAAAAACAAGCATTTTTCTTGGCATTATTGGCCATATTGCCATGCTTCTGAGATGAATTAAGATTCCCAAATCATACTAGGTTGCCAGCCCTTACGTTGATTTTTCAGAAAAACCATCCTGTTTTTCATTTACCAAGAGATCGATCTTTCAATTTTTACATTTGAGACAAAGGGATTCAGGTAAACATTGACATTTCGTTGCTGTTAAGATTAAAAGTGCTTAAATTTCTGGCACAATGGCACTCAATAAGTACTTTATTGTGCCAGGCGAAGAAAGTCAGCATAATGTTCCTTTATCCATGAGTTATTATTGTCTTGATGATGACATAATAATGCTGTCATTGCTGTGGCTATATTGCTTGCCTTGTTAATTCATTATATTTGTTCTTTTAGATTAGAACAGAATTTTGCAACATTGCATGGGGAAAGACATGAGGGATTCAATAAATAAATGAGAGACCATGGTAACTGAGCAAGTCTGATAATTAGGAAGTTTTAGATCAAAGAGGACATTATATTATAATAATGATTAGCCTAAATCTAGTTTTTCCATTAATACATACCATATTTTATGTGGTATTATCTGTAAAAGATACATGTATTAATATCATGCTAAATATATGTTCTTATGCCAGCCCATTGTTCTTTATGGATGACTCTGTCATGGTATCAAAAGTCAAAAACTGTTCATCACCTGGACTATTGGCAGCTGGATGACTTAAAGAGATAAGTAAAATGTAATGTGGTTATGTTACTCGGAACTCTCATGATTAAAAACATATATATTATGTTACACTAGTAAAATATTAAAAACAAACTTTTCCAAGCTTTCGGACGAACGCGTCCATCATCAGGGAATAACTGTTGTAAACAAATTCTAGCCTTAAATACGGTCTACAAATGTGCATACATTAATAATATACAATAATAATTAAGCCTAAGGTTAAAACCTATTATAAAGGAAGGGTACGAAAAGCCCAATTATATAACACAGTACTCTCTGTTTAAAGAATGACAATAATTCATAGTTCTTACTTCTTTAAAATCGGCTTATAAACGTCAGGAAGTATCCTACCATTATCTCTGTTCGAAATACCGCTACCCGATTGCTCAATCATACATGCTTCTTTCCATTTACGTTGCGCCCATCTGCTCTCTTTACATAAAATTTTGAATCGTTCCATGCTATACCATGTTCACAATCATACCCATGCTTAGCCAAAGCTGACTTTTCAATCTTCCCCAAACGGACTGCTGCCTTGTGTTCCTTCTCTCGCGTTCCAAAAGCTCGTCCTGTTTCACCAATGTATTCTACATCACAGCCTGCACAGGGGATGCTATACACCACCCTGTCTGTTCTTGGATTGATAATACATCCTTTGGTTTTACTAACTGTTTTTTCAACGTGCATACCGGCCTCATTGCAACTTAAAATCCGTTTTTAATTAATGTCCGTTTTAATCGTTCCGTTGTACCTTGAATATATGAAAGGACTACTAAACCATTGCCCTTCACAACCGATGAATGCTCTGTATTACAAAAAGATTTAAAATTTGAAATGGCACCAAAACGTGTTCCGATTATGGATATTATTGCCGAGGTAGAAAGGTCAAATTACAGTCTAGATGAGATACAAAAAACTGAAATTAGAACAGAAACGGCTAGTATATTGAAACAGGCGAAGTTACCAAAGGACAACATGACTAAAAGAGAAAGGTAAATTATAAGGGATTTAAAGGAGGATGAAACAATAGCGATCTTGAAAGCAGACAAAGGCAATACGACAGTGGTGATTGATAGAATTCAGTATGAAGAGAAAATAAACAATATGTTGAATGACAATAAGACATACATGTTATTGGATAAAGATCCTGCAAAAGAATGCGAAAAGCGATTGAAATTAATTTTGGTTACAAAGAAAGAAAAGCTGGGAAAAAAGTTATACCGAAAGTTAAGTACGACGGATGGTATAACACCGCGCTTATATGGGTTACCAAAGATCCATAAAGATGGCATACCATTACGACCTATTGTTAGTTTTATTGGTTCTACAACATACGAGTTGTCAAAGTTTCTACGTGGTATTTTATCTCCACTTGTTGGTAACTCTCAGCACCATATAAAGAATTCATATGAGTAAGTTCGGAAAGTAGGTGAGTTCCGGTTGGAAGATGATGAGGAAATAATGTCGTTTTATGTTGTGGCATTATTTACTTCAATCCCGGTGGAATTAGCAGTTCAGATTGCGGCTTCAAGACTGAATAAGGATTTAACATTAGTAAAAAGGACGTCATTATTAGCACAGGATGTTGTTGAACTCTTGGAGTTTTGTCTAAAATCGACAGAATTCCAATTCAGAGGAAGTTATTTTAAGCAAATACATGTACAGCAATGGGGTCACCCACCGGTGTCGGTGGTTGTGGCTAATTTAGTGATGGAAGAATTGGAAATCAAAGCGTTGAATACTTTTGTTGATAGTCCGAGGTTTTATTACAGATTTGTGGATGACACGATCACAGCACTGAAGAAATCGCAGATTTCTAACTTCCATGACCATTTGAACACTCACATTAAGTTTACAGTGGAGAGATATAATAAGAAGGAAGGCCTTGCGTTTCTTGATACGCTAAATAAAGTTAGTGATGATGGTATGATCCACACAAAGGTATACCGAAAGCCGGCGCATTCGGATCGATATTTACCGTTCGATTCCCATCATCCAAGGCAGCATAAGAATGCGGTTGCGAGGACACTTTTTATGAGAGCAGTTGGCGTATGTAATGATGCGAAGGAGCAAAAGCAAGAATAGAAACGAGTATATAAAGTTTTGAGAGGCAACGGTTACCCTAAAGAAATGTTAACGAGAATTTGTAGGTAAATTGGAAGTGGTAATTTATCAGTGGGCGATGCTGAACAACCAACAGACCTGGATAAGGGCAATGGTTTAGTAGTCCTTCCATATATTCAAAGTACAACGGAACGAAAAAACGGACATTAATTAAAAACGGATTTAAAGTTGCAATGAGGCCGGTATGCACGTTGAAAAAACAGTTAGTAAAACCAAAGGATGTATTATCAATCCAAGAACAGACAGGGGAGGTGTATAGCATCCCCTGTGCGGGCTGTGATGTAGAATACATTGGTGAAACAGGACGAGCTTTTGGAACGCGAGAGAAGGAACACAAGGCAGCAGTCCGTTTGGGGAAGATTGAAAAGTCAGCTTTGCTAAGCATGGGTATGATTGTGAACATGATATAGCATGAACGATTCAAAATTATTATGTAAAGAGAGCAGATGGGCGCAACGTAAATGGAAAGAAGCATGTATGATTGAGCAATCGGGTAACGGTATTTCGAACAGAGATAATGGTAGGATACTTCCTGACGTTTATAAGCCGATTTTAAAGAAATAAGAACTATGAATTATTGTCATTCTTTAAACAGAGAGTACTGTGTTATATAATTGGGCTTTTGGTACGCTTCCTCTTATAATAGGTTTTAACCTTAGGCTTAATATTATTGTATAATTATTAATGTATGCACATTTGTAGACCGTATTTAAGGCTAGAATTTGTTTTACGCCAGTTATTCCCTGATGATGGACGCGTTCGTCCGAAAGCTTGGAAAAGTTTGTTTTTAATATTTTGTGTAACATAATATATATGTTTTTAATTAAAGAGATAAGCTCTGTTGAACATTGATTGCATAAAAAACGGTAGTAATATAATTTTATATATTGTTATTGCTTCAACATGTTTGCTTGTAACTCATGCATGCTATGAAAATGTTATCCATACCTATAAATTTTGCTATATGGTGCAACTTATTTGTATACTTGCTAAAATTTGTTTAATCACCTATATAGGTATTTACATGCAAATGTTTCTTTTGACTCCTTAGTGTGACGGCATGCTTAACTTAATAGTACATTTTTTAACTGTTTGTAAATAATACCTATAGATAATAAAATGTAGTGAAATCATGTAAGCCAACATTTTTTGTCGTGTTTGTGATGTCTGTTAAAAAATTGTTTATCAAGATAGATAGATTATATATAGGCCATATTTCATGTAGCAATAGCCTGTATTGCTATAATACTGTAATTTTGCCATTGGTTTGGACAAATTATTATTAATTGCATGACTTACCTGATTTCCCAGCAATTGCTCTCTCCACTCTGTTTTAAGAACAGTAGTTTCTTGTTACATTTTGGCATAGTCCAAAATATTTTTCTCAATCAATGGATTGAAATTTGCCAACTATATCATGGATTAATTTGTGGTTTACTCTTTAAAATTCTGCTTTTACCTGAAAAAGAATTAATAGAGTTTGCCAGATACATTGTGAAAGAAAATTATTCTACTGGTAATTTAGAACCTTTACTCTGTCAATTAACTAAAATATCAATGAGAATTTTATACAAAATATGGCAGGTAACTAAAAAGTAGCGAAGTAGCACACATGGGTATTATGTCTAACAAAGAAATTTAGCAGTCAATTATCTGTTTGGATAGTTTGTCAACAAGAATTATGGTACCTTATATCAATATGAAAGCTGTAAACTAAAAGCAAACTTACCTTGTAACAAGCTGAAGTGCAGGATTTTTTCTTAAATTGTTTCTACCCCTGGCATTCTTATGCTCCATGAACCCTGTATCAGAATAAATTGAATTATTGATATGTTTAACAAGTCAGATCCATTTCTTAAAGGTATCATAGAGGTGGTAAACATAAATAATCATAAAGATTATGTACATCAACAAGGTTATCACTTACTCTTCCACCACAATTGAGTCAGCAAGGAAGGGATATTTCTAAATTATCATAGGTGAAATATTTTGTTTTTCTTCCATGGTTTGATAAATTAATTGTATACACCTGATTGTTGACAGTAAATATCCCTCATTCCCTTGTGAACCAATGTTACGTAAACGCATCCACTGACGGTAATATGATAAGAGTCAGACTTGATGCATAATCGACATATTTGGGGATATAGTGTCACGACAAAGTGGATGAGTCAGAGTGGATGCATAATCGACATATTCGGGGATATAGTGTCACGACAACTAACCGTACAACGAGAGAAAGGCGAAATTTTAATTAAAATTTCAAACATCGTCTCGCTTTGCCTTTTTTGGATTTATTAACAATCGTTTTTAGTTTTTACGAATTTTAAGACAGTGTAAACCGAAAAGAGAAAAAATAATAAACTTTATTAGAGATTTTTAGAAAATTCCGTATTTATTGCAATTTTCCGTATTTAGTGTTCAATTACTATGCTCGTGAAATTTTGCATGATGCATTCGCATCAGTCGCATCAGACATCAGTCTGGATCCACCCCTACGTAGAACCATAGAACCGTAGAACAATGGAATCGTAGAATCCTGGAACCGTAGAACCCTGGAACCGTAGAACCATAGAACCATGGAACCGTAGAAGCGTAGAACCGTAGAACCGTAGAACCATAGAACCGTAGAACCATCAAACCATAAAACCGTAGAACAATTTAATGGTAGCATTATATTATTAGTGCTTTATAATTATGCATTACATATTTAAATAATTATTACAATATATTTCGTGACTTGTAACCCGGCCTTATAACCCGGCCTCATTAGTGATCTGCCACATAATATTTCATCAGTCCTTTCATCACGCGCCCGACGTCAAAATTCACGAATCGGGTATGCGCCAAAGATCATGGCTGAATTGCAATCGAATGTTTTCGATTTTGTGTGACTAATAATGTTCATATTTCAGTTGTGAGTGATCGAAACTTTGAAATGGCAAGCGACTACGATGACGACAATATCACTTGTCATTTTACGATCAAACACTCGTGGTGGGAAAGTGATTTCCGTGTAACCATCGTGTACTTTCTTCGTAGTTTGTTTACCAGTCCGGGCTCGTGATGGGCATGGTTGGTTAACTGGACTTCGTTTCACATCGTTTCTAGGTATAAGAGAGTGTTCTCCATCGCATCGAAAGCGGTAAAAACTGACAATTTTTCTACCTTTGAAGTCACCAATCAAGTAAGTGTAATAGTTCTCGATACTTTTGTACTTTCAAACTCAAGTACTGCTCTGGTATATTAAATAATACCAGGTAATTGTAATATTTTTGTTATAACAAATTACAAGTTTTCTAACCGAGTATGTGACTTTAATACAGGAGTGTCAATGTTTGTCAAAATCACTTTGATGTAAATTTTGATTAAGATGTCTTGTGCAACCTGGGCTTATCTGACATGATATGTATCCTGACTTCCAGTCTTCCATCATATTGATACAATATAATTGCTGCATGATCCTGGGGTTTCAAATTTGAATTTGCTTGCAAATGCCTAACATATATAATAGCTCTCTGTTATGATCAACAACTATTAGAAAGTTTTGGAAAAATGTCAAGAATTCAGACCAACTCCGAAATAGAGGTTCATTTGCTGATTTTCCAAACAAATTATGTTGAAATCAATCCTATGTCCTTTTAGGACTTTATCATCATTTCTATATTTTCATGCAAATTATTGTATGTAGTATTTCAACACCTGACCACTATCATTCTGTCTTTGTATATATTTTGGCAACTGGAATATAACTGCAGCCATAAAGTTCTCAATCTAATTTTGTCATTGCACATGTGAATGGCTGGTAACCACAAGGAGAAAGTTTTTAACTGACAAATTTTCAAAAATATTTTACTGGGCTTACAAAGATTTTCTAAACATCATGCCAAGCTTGAAGGCACCAACAGAAGTTATCATTGGTGTGAGAGTGTCAGTTGTCAATCTTGAGATAAAATAAAACTGACAACTGCTGGTAATTTGTAAAAAATCTGTCTTTGTTTAATTTATAGACAAAGCAGGCAAAAGACTAAGAATATTACATTTTCTACCGAGCGCAGAGAAGACCTTATCACAGAGGCTTTAGTAAGGAAGTGTAATTTTTTTTATTTCGTACCTTTGTTTTACTGTATTGTACAATCTGTCAATTAACCACTGATTATTATATTTTAAAAGTTCTACAAAGACTTTGCTGGT